TTTCTCGCGCGGCGACGCGTGGCGGCGACGACGCTGGCGATTGCGGCGACACCACACACACACACACCGATCTCTGCTCTGTGTGTGTGTGTATGTGTGTGTGGGTGAACATATACACACATACACCAGGAAGCTGTGTCGGAGAGCGCGTGCCCCGGCGTCTGCTAGCGTTCGCGCGTGACGTCATTTACGGAGTAACCTGCTGCTACCTATACACACGGACGGTGTGCGAAGCGGTGTATATACACACGCGTTAACGAACATTGCTGATGAGTTCGTAACTAACACGACTTAACACCGCTTAATAAGTCACAACGAATGCTCTTTTGTGGCTAGAGTTGTAGTTGTTTTACAGAAGGTACTTTCTCTTTTTTGGTGAGTTCTGGAAGGTCTCTCTACACACGTCTTCGGCGAGTTATATATCTATATGTATATGTGTGTCTGCGTGTGAGAGTGAGTGACGCGGCATACACAACTATCACCGTACATCCAAGGCAATAAGAAGACATTACCATCATCATCGCCACCACCAGCAGCAGCAGCAACAGCACCATAGTCATATCGTCGCTGATTGAGTGATTATCGATTAATAATCTTGTCATCGATTCGCTCGCATCTGGCAACATCTATTACCGCGCGAATCCGCGACATCGTCTGCAGGAGATTGCGTCAGCGTCAGCGTCTGCGTCACTCGTAACGCGTCGTGTACACCGTCGTATGCCAGCGTCGCTAACCCGGACCTTGCGCCGACGCAATAATAAGCGTCACAGTCTAGCCGACGCAAAACCTGACGTCATCATCTCGCCGACGCAACGTCTGACGAAGACAACACCTGACGACGACGACGACGACGACAAGGAAGACCATGGCTACGCGGACGACGTCGCCGTGGCCGACGCTGCTGCTGGCGACGTTGGCGACGCTTGCAGTCGTCGGCGTGCGGTCGGCAGGCGCCTGTGGCGCCATCGAGAGGCTGACGTTCAGAGATCGCGTTCACTACACACAAGTCGTGCTCTACGCAGAAGTGCTACAGCACCTCACTGACACCTACAACACGGAGGGCGGCGGCGGCGACGATGACGACGACGATGGCAGCATATTCGCAGTGCAGCTGAAGGTGCTGTGCATTCTCAAGGCCGGCCCGCTGTCGATCGGCCCCATCATCAACGTCACCGGCGCCGGTAAGCATCGCCGCTGTCGCCACTGTCGTCATTGTTGTCGCTGTTGTTACTGTTGTCACTATCGTCACTGCTGTCACTGTCGCCACTGTCACTATTGTCGCCACTGTCGGCGTTGTGGTTACTGTTGTCACTATCGTCACTATCGTCATTGTCGTTACTGCTGTCATCATCATCACTGTCGTCACTGTCATCAGCAACTATAGAGCGAACATAAGATAGTCGGGGGGAGGGGGGCATCGGTGTCAATACTTGTGTGTAGTGCGGAGCTAACGTATTGTGAGATAACGAATTGTGAGATAACGCAATGCTCAATATAGCTGAACACAGAACAATTCAGTCCTTAAAGGCATAATAGGCCCATTGATTATACAAAGTTGACGAATGCTACAGTAACTGGCACCTTCTGTAGTTAATAAGTACATTACCTTATAGTCAAACGCGTATTAGTTTGTCTAATATCACTGCTAATTACTAAGAAATGTCTAATTGAAATCCGTAAATCTGGTAATCTGGCGCCAACGCTAAATTGGTTGCCAAGCAAAATAGCCTCGAATTCGGTTAGGCAACGTCACATGTTGCTACGGGTGTTTAGCAGAGAATTGTTTGGCCGGGATGCTTATATACGACTAATGAGCTAGTAGAATGTATCTCTGGGTGTATTCTGGGTATTGAGGCACAAGTAAATAATCGTGGGTGCTAATGAACGGGTACCCACATGTCTTCAATTTCAGACACAGGTGTATTCGTTTGACCAATATACGTAAATACGCGTAGTGCCGTCTGCTTTCCATGTTTAGTCTGTGGCCGTGGTTAGTCCGCGATCCTCCCATAGCGTTGCCACCCAACACGGCCTACTTCATTATCACGAGCGTCCGTGATTCGTACGTGGATTCCACGTTCATTACAATCAGAGCTACTGTTACGTATACAGTTACGGTACTGTACTATCGCTAGCATTGCGTACGGCCGAGCGAAAATGCATGCGTGCGTGCGTTTTTGCATGCGTGCGAAAATGTCCGGTGGACTATAAATCTGTATCACACCCGTTTCGAAGTATGCGGTTTCGAAACTGTAAACAAGTCAGTCAACTGATTTCGTGGACTGCGGATTTCAATTAGACATTTCTTAGTAACCAGCAGTGATATTGGACAAACTAATACGCGTTTGGCTATAAGGTAATGTACTTATTAACTACACAAGGTGCCAGTTACTCTAGCATTCGTTAAAATTGCATAATCGATGGGCCTATTATGCCTTTAACAATCGTCCTCTTATCTACCTTCGCTCCCTCCTCTATCTGGGGCCCGTTGTCAGAAACAAAATTAGTCTTAACATTAGTTTTAACATTAACTTTTTCTCTTAGACCGTTGACAGAAACGCTGCGAAGTTACGAGAATGAAAAATCGTAGCAGATTTCCTCATAACAATACGAAACAAAGTGATGTCGACGGTCTAGGAGAAAATGTTAGTGTTAAGACTAATGTTAAGACTAATTTTGTTTCTGACAACGATGCCCATATCTCTATCTTCTCTCCCTCCTCTATCTGATCTACCTTCTCTCCCGCCTCTATCTGATCTCTTCATCTACTTCCTCTCCTTCTCTCTATTCTCTCTAGCTCCAGGAAACGGTCATACATCGGAAGGCAGTGTTTTATGTTAGTCTTGCAGCCTGGTCGGGCTACCTTTTCCTGTTCTCTATCTCTCTTTCCTCTATCTTCTCTCTTTTCACCTCCTCCCCTCATATACCTTCTCCCCTCTCCTACCTCCCCTACCTCGATCTTCTTCCTTTCTACCTCATCCTCTGATATACGTTCTCCCCTCCCCTGCCTTCGCCACATTCTCTTGCTCCCCTCTAACTCAACCCTCCCCTTCTTTAACTTCTTCCTCCTCTACCTTCCCCTCCTCTACCTTCTCCCCCCTCTACCTTTTTCCCTCCTCTACCTCCCCCTTCTTTAACTTCTCCCCTCCTATACTTTCTTCCCTCCTCTACCTCCCCCTTTTTTAACTTCTTCCCTCTCTACATTCTGCCCTCCTCTACCTCCTCGATCCCTTTACCTTATCCGCAACATCATCCACATTCTCTTCCGATTCTACCTTCTATCCATCCATCACGTATTCAGATCACATTTGCTAGGCGCGTGGGTATAACGTTATGGAGGCCACGTCTATTATAAATAATTCTACACAATTTGTCTGTCGTGTGCACGCGTGAGGTCAATGCGCATTAGCATGCATTATTTATTCAACAGTATTTACCTGTATTATTATACACACACGCACGCACGCACGCACGCACGCACGCACGCACGCACGCACGCACACAGAGAGAGAGAGAGAGAGAGAGAGAGAGAGAGAGAGAGAGAGAGAGAGAGCGCCTAAACATTTTGCGTTGGTTCGGTACTAGCGGTTGCATTTATGTGCCTCTTCTTACTTATTTATGCCAGTATCGGCATGACGTATAGTACCATCGAGTCGGCAAGACAAAGGATTTCTAAAGAATTTTCCTGAGAGTTATTTAGATTGAAATTCGGGCGCGCCACGCGCATTCACCCAGTGTTAGCAAAGCTCCCACGGATCTATTCTTTTACTACAATGAATTTAATATTATTATAATAAATCGTATATAATTATATATATATATATATATATATACTTTTATATCCTCCATAATATATTCCTATATTCTTATATATGCATACATACATATGTATATATAAGAATATATATATATGATAAATAGAGACTAACCAGTGCTGATCCCGGGTCCCGGTGAAAAACAGAGTTGATGTCACTGCATCCGGTATTTGCGGATGTGTTTCTATCCCACGATTATCCCTCGTATATTTGAATCAATAGAGCCGTGGAAAAAAGCACGGGCTTTTTGCTCACTGACTGTTTCCGGGGTTGTGGCGGTCTCTCTCTCTCTCTCTCTCTCTCATTCTCTCTCTCTCTCTCTCTCTCTCTCTCTCTCACACTCACTCTCTGCCTCGCTCGCTCTCTTTCTCTTTCTCTCACTCTGTCTCTGCCTTTCTCTCTCTCTCTCTCTCTCTCTCTCTCTCCCACGATTATCCCTCGTATATTTGAATCAATATCTGCGTTCGTAGGTGCATTCGTGCGAGCGTGCGCATGTGTGTAAGCGCGTGTGTGTGCGCGCGCGTGTATGTGTGTAGCGGAATCAAGGTGTGACATGACCGTGCACTCGGAAGCGTGCCGCGATGCATACAACCTCGTAATCGCACCCTAATTATGACACCTGATAATAACATCCTGTTTACAACATGTTAACAAGAAATCGCTCTCGCACTCACCGGCATAGCACCAAATTTACTCATCCACTTGCAATTATATATATATATATACATATGTATATAAGCGTACTTCTTGTCTCGCACATTGCCTCGTAATTGCACCCTAATTATGACACCTGATAATAACATCCTGTTTACAACATGTTAACAAGAACTCGTTCTCGCACTCACCGGAATAGCACCGAATTCACTCATCCACTTACAATCATATATATATATATATATATATATATATATATATATATAATTGTAAGTGATTGAGTGAATTTGGTGCTATTCCGGTGATGTTGTAAACAGGGTGTTGTTATCAGGTGTCATAATTAGGGTGCGATTACGAGGTTGTATGCATCGCGGCACGCTTCCGAGTGCACGGCCATGTCACACCTTCATTCCGCTACACACATACACGCGCTTACACACACGCGCGCGCTTACACACACGTTCTTACACACATGCGCACGCTCGCACGAACGCACCTACGAACGCAGGCGCACGTGCACGCACGCACGCACACGCACGCACGCACGCACGCACACACACACACACGCGCGATGAATATACGGTGTTTAATGCGAATAAACGCGTATCTAGACTACTAAACGCCATCTTGCTTTCGCACGCCACTTGAAAATATGCCGCCATTTTGTGGTTGCTGTGCATCGGTGCATGGTGTATACAAGACTAGGTATCGGCACCTGCCGTGTATTTTACTTATTACTATCTCACACGGTGCGAAGACAATATACATGATTGCATCACTACATGCTAATAACATGTTTTGGCCTAAAAATCTCACAAGTAAACCTAATAAAATAAGCTCTTCGTTATGTTACATGTGCAAGCTGACGGAATATTTTCCGTCGCGATATTAGTGTAATACCGTAAACATATATACCTAGTGCGTTCAATACACAGAGATTCATGGTAATACGCCTAATCGTGCGAGGCTCATGATCTCTCGCATGAGCGATACTCAGACGGATAGCTGCCAAATGATCATTCCGTAACCAATACCATGTTTCGTATGAACCGCATTTTGCGCTACCATGCTCCTCAGTGTGTGCCAAGAGTCAGACTACACAACATGTACACGTGTTAGCCTATACAACATGTACACGTGTTAGCCTATACAACATGTACACGTGTTAGCCTACAAAACATGTACATGTGTTAGCCTATACAACACGTACACTCGTTAACATACACAGCATGCACAAGCGTAGCATATACAAGTATGTACACGCGTTAGCCTATACATCATGCGTTAGCAATTATAGCATGTACAAGCGGTAGCCTACATATATACAGCATGTACACGCGTTAGCCTATGTATCACGTGCAAGTATTAGCACGAAAAATTCACCATCGAATACAAATCAAGCCAAATCAATACAATACAATACAAATCAAAGGATAGAGAACATCGCTGGTCATTCACTGGTAGCAGTGGCTATAGATGTACGTCCATGGGCTTGTTGACACGTGTCTACAGGGAGATTTGAACGCTCATAAATTATGTTTAATCCGTAAATCAGGCTTCGCAGCAAAGGCAATGCAATGTGATATAAGCCGTAAAAGTAGAAGATATCGAGCGCGATTCATATCGTTAATGTAAAATACGAAACGGATACACGTGAATGGCGATAGAACCCTAGTGTTATTTTTAGAATTATGTAGTTAGGTGATGTATGCTAAGAAGGGCAGGAAGGGAAAAGGAGGAAGGCTTCGAAGAGAAGAGAAACGAGAGCGAGGGCAAAGAAGTCCTGAAAAAAATGGTCGGGTAGAAGGTATGGGAAGAAAGATACAGGAAAAATTCGCAAAGGATAAGGCAGAGGCATACAAATGTGATAGAAGGTAGATAGAGGAGTAGCGTGTGATGGAGGGAAAAGACGAGACGATTGGTAAGGTAAAATTATGCAAAGACGCGAGAGCGATGAGAGAGGACACATGGTGAAGATATAGGCGAGTCATTTGGAAAATATAGGAAGAAACAAACTGTCGCAATTTATAATCACATTACTAAAAACATTTTCAGATGGTCTCTCATGTTTTATCCTAAATGCCACATTATCTTCGTCGTCAATTCTATTTTCTGCCGACACCTTACAAATAACTTCCACTCTTAACGTCCTAAATGTGATTACCCGTGTTTAGAATTCCTTACACCAACAGAAAACTCGATAAAGTGCCTAATAGCAATGACTTTTAGCAACTACCATTATCATTCATGCCATTACCATGACCAATCAGGACACGACATATCGGTGCAAGGATCTGAGTCACGCGATCGCACCTGCGGCTGCGCATCTCCAAGAAAAGGTATCTGAGACAAACAACTTGCATTTCCCGTGTCACGAAAAATACGACGTAAATATAAGAAAATCTACTGTCACGCATGTGTCATACGTGCCTTTCACGTGTGAAGTGTACACAAGGATTGCGCATATTGAGAAAGCATGTCGAATTGGGTGATCAGGAACGGAGGGAAGAGGAAGGCGAATGAAAAGGAAATGGGGAGGTGTGAAAAGAGGAAGGGAAGAAAGGAAGAACTACAAATTAAGAGGAGGGAAGAGGGAGGGGATGAAAAAGATGAGAAATATTCGGGATGTTCAAAAATAGGACTAGGGTCATGGGCTAGAGTTAGAAGGCTCAGGTGGTTGAGCTAGGAGCGGTAGTAGAAGAGAGGGCCAAAATCCATGCAATTAAAGTCACGGCATATTTTCTGCTTCTGATGCCAACTGAACTTAATGTGAATAACAGCGTTTCAATGTTTGAATCCTCACACACTATCACGAAAAGCAAATCAACACATGACGCATACTCCGGCTTGCTCATGCGCACTCTGTCGCGTGTCGTTGCACTGCGTCATTCCTGATCTTCCTTTGTCCGTCGTCGCCTGTGTTTGTTTCATGATCGGTCTTGCCGCTTGTGTGCTTACATACATATTCCATAACACACGACCGATTTAATTCTGGGAAGTGGCCGTTGATAGTGCTTTGTGAATTACGGCCTTCCTGTGAGACGGCACTTAACCGCATGTAAGTCGCGAACATGTTAACAAGGCTCGGCATCAGATGCACTGCGAGAAAGGTAGAGCAAGAGAGAGAGGCAGAGAGAGAGAGAGGGGAGGGGGAGAGTAAGCAAAAAAGAGAATATGAAAAGGAGAGCGCGGGATAGACTGGGGCCTAGTAATATTCTCCCGGGATGTGCTAGTTTGCTATTACTGTAGTAGTACAGCGTAGACTTTCCTCTACGCTATCGTTCGGGAACGATTTTCTGCGATTGCTGATCCTTACGGCGTTTACGGTTGCTGCTATTGACCCTTTCGGTGTATGGTGCGGCGTCAACCTTTCGGCGAACATTTCTCGGTGACCGTTTCATGACTGTCACAGTACCATCCGAGGCCGTTTATTGTTTGCGGTCAACCACTGTAGCGCGTGCATCGCCACCAACGCTACGCAGGCACGTGGGTCGGGAGGTGAAGCCACCAACGCCCTCTATAACTACCATCATCATCGTCGCACTTGTCGCGTTGTGTTTCGCACGATACGTGACTAGAGTCCATTTTCAACTATAGGAGACCCTATGCGTGACGTCAGCACTTTCTGTGCTAACATCGTACGTCTTGCACTGCACGAGTAGCGGGAGACGGTGGAGGCGGAGGCGTCGGCGGCGTTTCTGGCGGTGACGGGTCAGCCGTGTGTCGCTTCGCAGTACCGTTGCCACACACCTTTACCCCCGACCTAAAAATCTCCAGTTCTTTTAACGCCTCCTCGTAGGCCTGCTTTACCTGTCCGACAATAACAAAAAACATGGTTGCACGGCCAGTTGTACGAACAGCGATCTTCAGAAGCAAATGAGGGCTAAAATTAAGGATTTTTATGTTAAATAACAAATAATGCTTAAGGTTATTATAATAATAATTATCATGATTATTAATATCATGGTCATTGTCATTGACATTATCAGTGTCATTATAAAGTCATTATTAATGTCATTGTCATTGTTGACCCTATATTGACATTGTCATTGACATTGACATTGACATTGACATTGACATAGACATTGCAATGGTCGTGGTCGTGGTCGTGGTCGTTGTCGTTGTCGTGGTCGTGGTCGTGGTCGTGGTCGTGGTCGTGGTCGTGGTCGTTGTCGTTGTCGTGGTCGTGGTCGTGGTCGTGGTCGCTGTCGCTGTCGCTGTCATGGTCATGGTCATGGTCATGGTCATGGTCATAGTCATGGTCATTGTCATGGTCATGGTCATGGTCATGGTCATGGTCATGGTCATTGTCATTGTCATTGTCATTGTCATTGCCATTGTCATGGTCATGGTCATGGTCATGGTCATGGTCATGGTCATGGTCATTGTCATTGTCATTGTCATTGTCATTGTCATTGTCATTGTCATTATCATTATCATTATCATTATCATTATCATTATCATTTTCATTTTCATTTTCATTATCATTTTCATTTTCATTATCATTATCATTATCATTATCATTATCATTATCATTT